GTGTCAAAATTTCAAAGGAATCGGTAGGAACAAACAAACATTACATTTTTATTTATATAGATAGATAGAAGATGATCTGCTTTAGTTCATTTTCACAGGAAGGCAATGCCTCACAGAAAAGCAAACTTAGGGAGTCGTACTCGTAGCGCCATCTGTTGGACATAAAAGCCTTAACCTAGATTATATATTTTAATTTATATGAATGTTTAACGGAATAATATACAGCCTATGTCCACTCTGAGGTTCCATTCTAAATATTGGTGAAAGAATTTTTGAAATCGGATGAGTAGTTTCGGAGATTACCTGCTGCAAACAAACTTACTTACATACATACTTACAAACATTACCTCTTTATAATATTAGTATAGATATATAAATGAAGATGTTTGTTCGTTTGCTCGCTATACACACCTAAGCCGTCCTACCAATTGCTACGAAACTCAGTAGTTACGTTTACATACTTCTAACTTAGATAATGACGTACACCTCAGCACAAAATATCGATTGGGTTTCTATAAATTAATTAATTTCCATCTACATTCGATTTGCTGGCTTTACAGTTAACTCCATCTATTGCTAAAGTATTTAGTTAAATAATAGACTAAATATAATTCTTACAATAAAGGATATAATTTTAAAAAATATATATTATATTCACTTAATTACTGCGACAATAATGTAGCACGAAATAGACGCGCAATAGTCGCAGCATCATTACTGCGACTATTGCGTAGTGATTTGGCCCTGTCGCAGTAATGATTTATCATTACTGCGACAGGGCCAAAGGGTTGGCCACGAAGAGTTTTCCAGGTTTTCTTCACGTTAGTAACACTTAAATGTCTAGCTTTCCACAAAAGTCTTCCTGGGATGCATCCTCTCAGCAGATTTTTCACTTGTCCTGTTGCCTTAACAAAATAAACCAAACCAATTTTTACGAGCCATTATTTATTATAACATCAATACAATGTCGGGCTGCAATTTTTCGTCACAATGTTTTCAATTCTTTTAGCGATGTCTTACTCCTGTACATCGTACTTTTCCTGTTATAATAAAGTGCTGGTCATCTATCTAACTCTTCTCAGGGGAAAATTTTGAGTTGAAGTAATGTAACTTCCTCTTTAAATCGCAAGTTCGTATATAGTCAACCTGGGTCTCCTGCTCATACGTTTCGACTTCTGGTCTCAACTTTCATCTATCTAACTCCTTTCTCGAGATTAAGGAAGGACAGACAGATGTGGCCGTAGGCCATAGTTTTATATATATTTTTTGTTAACTTTAGCTAGACTCAGTATTTCCTTTGTTCTTTTGTCTTATCTGTTCTAGAACTTTCTCCCTTAATCCCTATTCCCTCGGGTGACATCACCGATTCTGTGAAACAATGTCAAGAGAAAAGGAACAACAAGCCCCTGGGGAGAAAGGAAGTGAAGAAAGGAGAAGAAGAGCTGGGACTTCGTCGAGAGAAGACGGAGAAACGAGTGCGGTCCTGATCGAGGAGTCGAGCAAGGAGTGAGAAAAACCTTGCGAAAGAAGGCCGAAGGAGGATCATACCTTGATCGCCTAGAGAGAGATCAGAGGTGTTGGTACCTTGTAAGAGACGGCTGAATTATAGAGCAACGGTGGGCAACCCCCGGCCCGCGGGCCAGCTACGGCCCGCAAAAAGTTTCTATCCGGCCCGCGAGATGTTTAGAAGAAATTATAAATAAATATTTTTCGATGTAATTCGTCTAGTTTAAATTGAATATTATTTTCTGAAGTGTTGTGGCAGCAATGACAGGAAAAAATAAGGGAGTCATTTCCTTATTCAAACAAAAAATGGGAGAACAGAATTTTTCTAAATTATTTATATCTCATCGCATCATCCATCAAGAAAATCTATGTGCAAAAGCTATGCAATTAGAAAATGTAATGTCTGTCGTATCCAACTACATAGTGCTGTTTTTATTGTGTTTAAAGTCACTTAGATTTTACAAATAGGTGAGCCGTTCACAGCCCGGCACACGCATTTGTAAAATCTAAGTGACTCATACAACATGGAATTCATATAAAACGGAATAATCAACAGTGTTATGGGGGGGTCGACTGTAGTAATTAATTTCTTTTTATTTATTTATTTCATATTTGCAGACTAAAAATTTACAGGTCACAAGGTGTCAATTTACTACTATGGCCCGCGGAAAAAACGTAAAATTTATTCTGGCCCATGTTATAAAAAAGGTTGCCCACCCTTGTTATAGAGTAACGTAGGACCGTTGCTAAGAAATCGAGTTTCCCCAGATTCAAGTAACAACAAGCAGGAAGACCACAAGACAACCCCCAGAAAACGTAGGCGTTCATAAGAGGAAAGAAATTAAGGTCTGGAGCCATTCAAAAATTCAAGACGGTGAATCATCCGAGACCACGTGGTAGAAAATTCCCGGGTGTTTTCCCTTTTATTCTACTCCTATCCTTATGTATATTTTATTTCTCCTTCCTTAGTTTGTAAGTAGGTTAAATTTTAGTTATAAGTCGCCCCCACGTGTTTTGTTTCCTTTGTCACGTGTTGGTTGCCACCACAGAGAATTGTTAGTGTAGACGATTATTATATGTATATTGAACCCAATAGACTGTAAGTTGGAATCATTTTAAAGAACCTGTGTTTGAGAATAAAAATCTTTAGTATTCTTACTCGGTTTATTTGTTTCCTGTTCGCAATAATACATTGCCACCTAACGGAACATCACACAGAATGCGGAAAATTTCTGCTGTTTGTTTTTTTGCTTTTTCTTTAGAGGAAACCAGGGCCACTTGACCCCTCTAGGTGTGTCACTGAGCATGATGATATATGCGAATCTCTTATATATGTTACCGCTAAAGCTCGAAATCCGTTAATGTGCGCATTACCTAGCTAATCTGCAGATTAACTAGGTTGATCCGTTAAAGCTGCGAAAATTATTCCATTTCTCAAATTACCTAGTTAATGTTCAGATTATCTAGGTAATCTGCAAATTACCTACTAGGCACTCGGTAAAGTGAAAATAAGATTTCTGCTGGAACAACAGCAACGTTTCTGTACGCTTAAATTAACATGTTATTTATTTAATTTTTAATATCTAAAGGATCAAGTTAATACAATCAACAAATTAGTTGATTGAATCAATCATCAATCAATTAAAAAACTTTAATACAAAAATCAAACGGTTTAAAATATCACTACAATTAGGGAAAGTAATTTGCAAAACATATGATAAAATTGTACGTACTTATTAGTGCAATCTAAAGATTGGTGACACTTTGAATTACGTAGCAATTGGTTTTTGCGACAAGCACGCCTATTTGTGGTACATTTAGATTTGCAGTCACATTTTCTGAAACCCTGCCCAGTACCAAGGGATTGTTTTATTGCTGTTTGACGTAAAGATATTTCTACAGCAGGGACATCCATCTTCTTTCGTTAAAAATCTCTCTTTGCAAACACTGAATTCAGATTTTGCATACAATTGTTTTAAAATACCTGTTTTAGTATCAAGTTTATAAAAGCCATCCTCTGTTTTACTAAGAACCACAGCTAAAATTGAACGTGCATCAGTTTTTGCTCTGTCTTCTTCGGGTACTTTAATTCTCACAGCGAAACCTTCATCGACGTTTGGGTGCTTTGCATTAGAAACTGCTAACATTTTCTTTGCTTGCTTTTCTAAACATTTCTTGGCTTCATCACGCTGTATTTTCTGATCCATATTCTTTTTACAGATGATGCACAATACATTCTTACCATACCCTTCCTCTTTAGGATCTACTTCACCACAAACTGCGTGAACAAACATATTACACGATTTACACTTGTGAGCACTTGATGCTGCTTTTGAGCAAACAATACAGACTATGTCTTGTATAGTGCTCTTTACAGGCTCCGTACGAAACTGTGATGGCGATTCTGCTGAAGTTGAGAGTAACTCAGTGATGACTTCTTCAACTTGCAGAGGCGATTCCTTGGAGGTGCAGGGTAACTGAATATTCTTCGTGACTGCATCATCAATCAACGGTATAGAAGGCAGTTTAAGATTACTATCGGTAAATTCTTGTATTTCTATAGGTGATTCTGTAGAAGCGGGGGATAACGGAATGTCCTCTTGAGTAAGATTTGACTGTGATCTCATAATCACAGTCTCTTGTGAATCTTCTAATTTTTCAAGGTCTTCTTCAGTTTTTATCGAATGTCAAACAATTCTCCGGCATGGACAAACTTTTTCAAACCTTTCTCGCGCATCTGGCAACGGCTCAATGAGTTTTTCACAGCCTCGTACAGTCAACACATCACACCTTTGAATTATTTGATAATCTCGAGATGATTCTTTCTTTTTGGAATCTTTTATTTGCTTTACATCTTCAATTATGGAATCATACTTTGGTTTGTTATTAAAACACTACGTATTATATTTTAAATCTTCGCTAAAGAGGTTTGCGAAGAATCTTTTCTTGATTTTTCTCACCAATTCGGTGCTTGCTTGCATTCTAGGATTTAAATTTATCTACGTAAAAAGAAGGGGTGGGGAAAAGAAGTGAAAGAAACAAACTTTTGAACTTTAACGATACGGAAGCCGTTAATTTAATGTACAGATTACCTAGATACTCTGCAAATTACCTAGGTAATTTGAGAAATTGAACAATTTTCGCAGCTTTAACGGATCACACTAGTTAATCTGAAGATTAGCTAGGTAATGTACACATTAACGGATTTCGAGCTTTAGCGGTAACATATATAATAATAATGTATACGCTATATGAGAGAGATTTTCTTTTGATGTTTCTTTTCTAGTTTTATGATTCCAGGAAACTAATAAAATTAGTCATACGAACTCGGAGGGAAATTTTATCAAATTATGAAAAAGGAAGCTATAAAAAAAATTTGAAAAGAAATAAATTTGACCAAGTTCTTCTATTTAACATGTTAAGTTAATAAAATAGAAAACAATTTTTTGAAAATTTTGCTTTATTAATTAATTGTTACTTTATGCGTGGCTTTGAGTGTTCAAGACCATGCAAAACCACACACGGTTTATTTTCATCAATAATTTTTGACATTGTCCAGTCGGTTTCCCTGTGAGTATTTTAACCGAATGAAAAATGCTTCGTACTGATCTTAAGACGCTCTATGCTTTGTAATTTAAATTATGTCATTATCTTTCATAAGATTCTAAATAGGATTTGTTTCCATGCAAAGAGAGATTGGAAGTTCATGGCGTTTACACGATAAATAACCCCCTATTCTCCAGGGCAATTGCATTTAGTTATTACGTAGCAGACGAGATATATAGCCAGGTGCAATGTTTGTGTTACACAACTTACACCTCGTAGGTATATAATTATATAGTGTGTACGAATTATATCAACTATACGTTAGATTCTTTGATAATGAGAGATATTTTTTAAATTTATTTGACACATTAGTTATAAACTAATTTTCATATTGTCAACAGCTAAAACAGAATTAGAACTAATTCTGTCTTGTCGTAACTATTGTAATTTCACTTAACATTTTTCATTAAATAAATTTTTAAGTTTCATTTATATATCAACAAAAAGAGAACAAAATCTTGTTTCGTACATCAGTTTGCTGCTTTCTGAGATATAAATAATTTAAAAAAATGTATGTGTTACACAAATAGAAGATCTCCACTGCATTGAAGATTTTTCTTATTTTTCCTAGTCTTTTAAGTATTTTAAAATGCATGAACAATATTATGTATATAAATGCAATATCATCGTCTTTCTTATTCATTGTAATACTATAATATCATCACATCATTGTATTGTGTTTTCATATTTTTATTTATAGTAATATGCCACATTAAAATTTTTATATTATAAATTGATTATCTTTCAGACATTATTGAAAAATCTTGGGATGCTGTGAATTCCTCTCACTGTAATTCTCAATGTGACAAAAATGCTGGTTGTTTTTGCGGATCGACTGGAGGAAAGTTTCAATGTGCTTGTCTTCCTGGATATAGAGGAACTGAAACCGATAATGAATGCAAACGTATGTAAATTCTAAAATTATTATTGATATAAGTTATCAATGAATTTTTTCGGAATACGTTAGAAGCTGAATTGTTAGCTGCTTCTTTTCCCATTTATTTACTTTACGTGCCCTAAAAGTTTGTGCCCTCGACGCATGGGACATTTTGATCGTAGAGTAATTTTGAGTTAGTGTTTTGTTTAACTTGCCTCATCAAGAACAGTTATACACGCAGTTAGAAATAGGAATGGACCATCACGGTAATTGACTGCAGTATCACGTGATTTTGACTTCACTGCCTCTTTTTCCCTCTAGAAGAAGCACGATTGTATAGAGTCGACATAGAAATGGCCTCGCAAAGTTAGGATTTTTTCCTGGGATTAAATCATATGATGATTAACAATCTTAATGATACATTGATCCTAGCAAAGAGTAGCATCGAAAGTTATTATGAACAAATTTTCTAAGTACGTAATGGTGCTCATTATGCTAATTTCATAGATACGTATATTTGAAAGCACAATAATTATACGTAAGCTAGTGTTTACGTCGGGTATAGAGTATATAGGAGTAATGCAATTAAGTGCTTCCGGAAGAGAGTGAGAGGCAGTGATGTTAAAGTCACGTGACATTTGCAGCCAATTACCGTGATGATTCATTCGTATTTCTAATGCATGTGTTCTTGCTATGTCGGTTATTTTTGCACGTAAGAAATATACTGTATAAATAAAATAACAACTTTGTGAGGACCCAACCGAGGTCCGAAATCATGTAAATCGCGATATTCCAATGATTAAATAATAACGATAGATTAAATATGAGAGGGAGAGGAAAATCCCATATATTAAACAACGCGGCACAAAATGTAGACAACGAGTGTCGGATGACTCGAACACATGTTAAATGAAATGTCAGTATCAGAATAAAAAGTTATAAGTCAGAGACAAGTGGTCATATGCAGATAGAACTTTGACCCCAGCGCTCATAAACAATCAATCTAGGGAAACAATTTCAGAAAAGAGAGAAAGATTTAAGAGAGATAAATCATTGCATATGATCGTTCGAGTACCCAGATGACAGAAATCGCGAGTAACGGAGCTAAAATATGAGCGCGAGTCTTGCAATTTTGTCAACAATCGACAGAACGGCGTCGAGCAGACACCTGGAATCGGACCTTTCCCGTGACCCGAGGCGGTGTCAGTTTATCCCAAAACAAAAGAGAGACCAATCGGGAAGCGAGAAAGGGGATGAAGGGCCAATCGGAAGTCCGAATAGTGGTAGAAAAAACTATAAAAATCCGAAACTCGAGATCGGAAAGCTCTCCTCCGACTCCCCGAAACGTCGCGACTGATATTGTGGAGTGTCGTCGGAAAGAACTTTGGACTCCGCCGCTTTCAACTTCATCTCGTCCGCCTTGATCAGCGACATCATCTCGTCCGCCCCGGGGCCAGACAGACGCAGAACTTCTCGCCTATCTGCATCTCCGAGCTAGTGAAGGACTGTCGATTGTCGATGTAAGCATAAATGTTAACAAATAAACGGATTTCTTGTGTAAAACACTTGTCGTCATTTGCCTCCTCCGTCACAGCCCACATACAACAACCTTCCCTTAGGTTCATCCTGACACGGGATTAATAGATCCCACCTAGGAGACGGCAACCTTACACAGGTGCCGTGGAGCGGGTTTCAAGTCCCCTATCTCCACCGGGTCGGCCATCTTACAACTTCTAGCGGTCCGGTCAGATCAACCCCACGTGTAGGCGGGAGATTTGGGGAAATCTTCTGTTCGGGGTCAGCAGGACGTCAGTCGAGCAAGACGTATGACTGGCCGTGTTATGCTTCGAATGACGTCATGCGCGCGCACTTGTTTGCCGCGGCAAACTTCCACATGAGCAAGCGATCGAGTTTCCGAAGCATGGCACTGACTTAAAACGGCTACATATTTTAATTGTTTACAAAGTTTTATTATATAAAAATACTTTGATATTTACTAAATAATGATTAATGCTAAATAAATAAACATGAGTTATATAATATTAAATATAATCTATATATATAAAATTGCTTGTCCTGATTGACTGACTGACTCACTGATTCATTATCGCCCAGAGCAAACCACTGAACCTAAAGAGGTGAAATTTAGTACACAGTTAGGGTACGTTACGAAAACGCACACTAAGAAGGGATTTTTCGAAATTCC